GAAAGGTGAGAAGAGCAGTCTCAATCCTTTAGAAGTTGGAGATTTTTTCAAACCCACCAGAAATATTTGTATTTCTTTTAGTTAGTGCCCATTTGCTTGTCATCATGGGAAAATAACTTCAGCTAGGACCCAGAATTCTAACTCTGAGGTGAAAGTCCTACTTTGTATGTGGCATAAGAATTTGCTGTCATGGTCATTCCTGTGGCCTTTTACCCCAGCTGGACAGAGCCACTCAAGGTCAGTGTTTTAGAGCAAAACCGGACTCAAATCATGTTATCTTCTTTTTACTGACAACACTCCAAGAGGTCATAGCCCTTGCTTCAGGTCCCACAGCTTAATGGCGGGACCAAGGCTGGACTTTAAACTCCACAGCTCTGCATCAAGCCAGCCACCTGGTTCAAAAGCCAGCTCTACCCTTTGCCAGCTGTGTGACCTTGGGCCGGTCATGTAACTTGTTTGCACTTTACCTACATAACAAGGACAGTGGCTGCACCCAGCTCATAGGACACTGTGAAGACTGGTGAGTTACATCTGTAAAGTCCCCAAAACAGTGCCGGTGCATGGAAAGTGCTTGCGAAAAGACTTAGCAACCATCATCACCACCACCATCATCATCATCACCACCACCACCATCATCACCCTCACTATCATCACCACCACCATCACCACCATTGTCATCGTTATCACCGTCATCATCATCACCATCATCACCACCACCACCACCATCAACACCCTATCATCACCACCATATTCACCATCGCACCATCATCATCACCACAACTACCATCACCCTCACTATCACCACCACCATCATCACCATCATCACCATCAGCATCATCACCACCACCATCATGGCCATCATTATAATCACTACCATCACCACTATTGTCATCATCATCACCATCATCATCATCACCATCATCACCACCACCAACAACATCACCCTCACTATCGTCACCACCATATTCACCATCGCACCATCATCATCACCACAACTACCATCACCCTCACTATCATCACCATCACCATCACCACCATATTCACCATCACACCATCATCACCACCACCACAACTACCATCACCATCACCACCATCACCACCACCATCATCACCATCATCACCACCACTATCATCATCACCATCATCAATATCATCATCACCATCGTCATCATCGATCATCATCATCATCATGTAGGGTAGATTTCCATATATATTTTTAGAATCTATTGAATCCTCATGATTTACTATGTTTAAGTATGATACAAGACTTAGAAAATAAGTATTCTTAAAATACATACATACATGTTGTATGATTTTCAGGGTAATCAAAATGCTAGATCTTAGATTGGTCATTCAGTCAAAATGAGCTTCAATTTCTACATCTGACAAGAGATGACGACACCTATTCTATCTACCTCATACAGTTAGGTAATAAGTATATAAAATGTGTGCAAAAGTTCAAAAAGATGGGAAAGAGGTGGAATTTATGGAGGAACTATGGGTACTTGGTGATTTACAACATATAATGAATTTAATCTTCCCCAAAACGCTGTTGTGGATATCCCACAGACAGGATGGTCATCCACTCAAAATTTGGTTTGAATGTCAAGACTGAAAATGCCACACACACACCAGCAGGGTATGAACAGGTTCTTGCTCACATGACGGGGCTTTCTGGGGAGATCAGGCAGCTCCCAAATTGATCACCAGTTGCTTAAGAAAAAAGGGAAAGGAGGGTAGCTCAGTTGGTTAAGCAATGGACTTCGGCTCCGGTCATGATCTTACAGTTGGTGAGTTCGAGCCCTGCGTGGCGCTCTGTGTTGACAGCTCAGAGCCTGGAGCCTGCTTGGGATTCTGTGTCTCCCTCTCTCTCTGCCCCTCCCCCACTCACGCTCTGTCTCTGTCTCAAAAATAAATAAACATTTAAAATTTTTAATTTATAAAAAAGGGAAAGTAAACGAGGTGGGGGGGGGGCGGTAACTGCAGACAGGGGAGGGCCAGTAGAGCCTGGGCGGGTCTTGCAGGGTGTGAACCCCTCCCAAGCACCCAAGCTTTCTCAGCTTGCCCTGATGTGGTGCAGAAGGAAAGAAAGTGGGGTGATATTGAAAAGCTGTCAGCAGTCACACGTCAAAAAGCCAAATCAGACTCTTTATCACAAACCCTGTGAGGTAGGTCTCATTCCCAAACATGAGGAAACTGAGGCTCAGCCAGTTTAGATCACCTGTCACAGCAGGTTTATCTGTGGCCCACACATCCTGCCTTCACATCACACAGTTCCCAGATCCCATGAGTTCCTGTCACCGGCTGACGCCAGAAGCACTGCCTGGATCCATGGGCTTACACAGTCAGTCAGCAGACCACAGGGACGCTGAAAACAGCCTTAATCCATTTTAATCCTGACTAGTGGTTTAGGACTTTCTTAATTTTCTTGAAAAAAAAAAAAAGGACAAAGAAAGAAGGAAAAGAAGAGAGAAAGAAAGAAAGAAAGAAAAGAAACAAAACTTCAGAGTTAGGTTCTATTGTTTCCATTGCTAACACTGTCTTTGCGATTGGGGTGGGGGTGACACTCTCTGTTTAAAGGTTTCTCTTCACATACAGGTAAAATTCCATTTCCAATGTATCCAGTGAGTACCAGCTTCTATTTCAGCAACCACCAGGCTGCAGTGGCCAACATCCACTTCCCTTATCTGTAATTGAGTATGTGTAAGGGTTTGGGTTTTTTTTTTTTTTTCCTCTGTTTATCTTCTCTGTTGAGATTGCCTTTGAAAATGAGTCTTGAGTACTATTGCAAGATCATGAAAGATTAAGCTAAAATGGTCAGGAATCAATTTTGTAAGGGTTATAAGGCTCTGAATCATCTCAGTTAAGTTCTTCCGGATAACCAAGCCAGATCGGGTTCCAAATTTGCTATCTCTCCTGTTAGAATTACAGTTATTTTGGCTCTCTCTCCAACGGGGAACTCAGAACACCCAGCATTGCTTCTCCTCAGGTGGGCAGCGCTCTGTAGCTGAACCTGCCTGGAATGGGAGCTCTACAAGAAACCCAAATCCGTCTTGAACCAGTTGGTTCTGCAGTATTTATGTATCTGTGACTCTTTTCTGAATGAATTACATTATATATCACACCACTACGTAAGACAAAAAATATGTATCTATTTGTGCTTCTCTGTTAGTCATCTAGGAAACACTGCAGGGGTCTTAGCCTTTCTTGAAGATTTCTTATAATTTTTGAGTCACGCACACACACACACACACACACACACACACACACACACACACACACACAAATCTCAGAGTTGGGTTAAATTCCCAATGCCCAGCTTTTCTTCCCCTTTACTCAAACTCGAGTACACACTAACCTACCTTCTCCTGTCCATCCCGGCTATACTCTGAGTCCAAATCAACTATTTCCTTCAAGGATACAATTCAGACATGTAAATATATCAGCAGTTTGATAGAAGCATTCAGGCAACTCATTTCTTCACAAAAGTCACATGAATCATCAAACAACAGGGGAAATTAGCCGGCAAGATTTTGTCCTGATGGTTAGAAAGGCTCCAACAGCAAATTCCCCAAAGAGTCGTCATGTCCCCGATCCACTCCGGATGGCCATACCACACACACTCAGCAGCAGCATCTCTGCGAGGGAATTAAAGCTTATTGGAACCAGTTAACAAAGGACACAACACTGAAGAGACAGATTCACCGATAATTTGCTACCAAAGAAAAAAAAATCTAGGGAATAGCAAAAATTCTGGCTGTCAAGGTCAAGCGTCTCAATCCCGTTTACCTCTATTTAAAAAAAAAAAAAAAATCAAAGCTCATCTCATCTCATCTCATCTGTGGTCTTTCTTCCCCACAGACAGAAGAGTCCATTTGGGCATTCTCAAAGTAACTCTTGGAGCATTTTATACAATTTTCATGAAAACAAACTCCTGCACTCCAAATGTATGAAAGAAAGCATTTGCTCCCAAATATGTTCCACATTCACCTGATTTAACTGAAGAATTCCAGAGAAGTTTGTTATTTGCCCCCGCCCTGGAGTGGAGACTTGGGCATTTTCTTTCTACTTGCCAACATGACATTACCGAAACGCCTATTCGGAAATGTTGATGTTTAGGTCAATAGATGTCACCGAGCTTTAGCATATACCCAGCCTCATTTATTATTTTCTACCAAATTCTCTCGTGAATCCCAAATCCATGCGCGGCCGCTGGCCACCTCCCATCCCTCGCGCCGCCCCGCGCTTCCTCGAAGCTTCCCAGTGCCCTGCTCATGCCCTGGCTGGCCGCCCCAAGCGTCCGGCCCGGAGGGCGACACCCCGGGGCCGCACGCACAATGTCCCCTCCAACCCGTCCGACAGTTGCAACATTCCCCCCTAAGCCCAGAAGGGGCAGGCCGCGGGAAGGCAGCTGCCCTCTCGGCCTCCAGCTGCCTTGTCAGAGCCCTGAAGGCTGGAGGAAAGGAAAGAAAAGTGTCCGACCACCTGGCACGGAGCCCGCCATCACCCGACTCCCATACCGCGCACCCTCGACACGCGCAGGGTCCAGCGGGACTGGCGGCAGGGGCCACCCGGACACTGAACACCTTGGGGGGGGGGCGCTCGGAGCTGCCAGGCGGGCTATGAGCAAGCACCGAGACCCTCTGCCTGAGCGGAGGCGTGTCAGCGGCTTGGCCCAGGAGGGGCGCGCCACTTGGTGGCCAATGGTCGTGCCAGGAGTACCGAGGCTGGGGTGGCTGCCAGGCCCTGGAGCGGCACGCCCTGAGAGCCCCAGGCGGCACGGCCGGAGCACTGGGGTGGGCAGGGAAGAGGCGCTTGCAAGGTCGGCCAGGGGTCCGCGCCCACGCGGGCCGAGAGGCCGGATCCATCCCCTCCGGGAAGCAGAAGAAGCTGGTGTCGAGCACGCTGGAGCCCCGCTCGGGGCAGCGCGCAGCGGCCGGCGGGGAGAAGCCGCTGGTCCCCGACCGGCGCCCCGCCCCACGCCCGCCGACTCCACTCACCTGGCAGTTGGCCCCGGAGACCCCGGCGGGGCAGGTGCAGCTGTAGCCGGGCTCGCCCGCGGGGCCCGGGGTGCACACGCCCCCGTTCCGGCAGGGCTGCTGGCGCACGGCCCCAGCGCGGGCAGGGGCGCGGAGGGAACCGGGCTGGCCAGGCAGCCACCGAGGGGCCCCGCGCCGAGCAGCAGGGAGCAGGGGCCGACGCGGGCAGCAGCGTTGCGCACCGGGCGCCGAGGCGCGGCGGGCATGGCCGACCGAGTGGGGAGCGGGAGCGGGAGCCGGACCTGGACGCGGCGGCGGCGGCGGCGGGCGACGGCGGCGGCTGAGCGACGGCGGCGACGGCGGTTCCGGCGAGGGCTGCTCCGCTGGGCCGGGCGCCTCCTGCAGCTGCTGGGATCCGCGGTTCCCGGGGCAACGGCGGGCGGGGCCTAAGGGGCGGGGCAAACAGGGGCGGGGCTCCGGGCGAGGAGACGGAGGAGGAAAGGGGCGTGGGGACCTTCGCCCCTGGTGGGAGTTGGGGGATGGGCAGGAGGCGCGCAAAGGTCCCCCCGGGCCCCCAAGCCTGAGGGGTGCGATCGGAGTCGTGGGCGTGTCCAAAGAGCCCCGAGGGAAGCGGCGGGGGGGGGGGGGGGGGGGGGGGGGGGGGTGGCGGGAAGCGGCGGGGAGCTAGGCGGTGCTGGGGAAGGGGAGGGGGTGGAGGGGTCAACGCCTGCGTGGGGAGGACTTCACGGGCCCCCAGGTGCCCAGCGGCCGAGCGGAGGGCGAGGCGGCGGAGGCTCGCAGCAACCGCCCGCGGCCTCTTGGCGCAGAATCGGTGGGACCGCTGCGGTGCCCGGCCTTAGCTCAGTCCCCGGGCTACTCTTCCCCCTCCCACAACACTCCCCCGGCACGCACAGCCCCCTCCCCGCGCCGCCCCCGAACCCCAGAGCCCCAACACCAGCTCCACCGCTGGGCTTGCTGGGAACAGCCCGGGCGTGGGCTCAGCGGGCCCCGGCCCTTGTCCTTGGTGCTGACCGAGGAGTGTCCCTTCTCTCGGGCCCTTTCCCGAGGGCGGAGCCGGCTGTGCCACTCAGAAACGTCTGACTGTGGCGTGTGAGAGCTGGAAGAGACCTCAGGAGCAGTGTCCAACCCTGTCGTTGAGCCGACGAGGAAACTGAGGCCCAGACAGGCTGGACTGGAACCCAGTGGGTCACTTGACTCCCAGCCCGGAACGCTGTCAGTCTTCTGAAAGAGCAGTTCAGAAGCGCAGGTTCACAAAGGCCCTGCCAAGCAGTATTTACTAGGGACCTCTGTGTAAAAGGAACATCCACCGCGACCTACTTGGGGGAGGATGCTCTTCTAAACGTCCCGGTTAGGCTGGCTCATGTTTTGACAGCCAAGAAGGCCAATTTCCACTGAGTAAACGCAACGGGCTTTGTCTCCACCACCTGACCTTTCACAGCCTCTGTGAATAGCCTCTGTGTATAGACTCCCAGGCACTTGTTACCTTGTTCTCACGGTAACCTCCTGAGAAAAGAAATGTGACTCTCTTGGATTGACAGTTGGGCAATTTTTTTTTTCTTTTAGGGCACACGAAAATAGTTCTGTGAAAAGCTGGGCAAATAAGAAAGTAAAGAATCCACATGAATTCATGCACGGAGGTGCCACAGATGAGCAACCAGGAGCTGCTAAAAATCTCCAGTTAACCCAGGAGTCTAACCGGACAGTCTCTCCCCGTCCTGCTCGGATTCGGGAGCAAATGTCAGGGGTTCGTGCTGAGGAAGATGCCTGAAATTCATGTGGTCATTACAGGAAATCACTAAAACCTAGATGGAGCTGCCCGCAGCAGCGGGAATTCAGACCTCCAAGTGGATCAAACAGTTACTACATTTTGCCTCACACCCGCAGTCTTTTATCGGAGACTTCCTCTTCCAAAAAAAAAAAAAAAAAAAAAAAAAAAAAAAAAATCTGAATTTTGTACCACGCCAGCACCCTCTGCTGGTAACTAGTCTCACCATTCAGGTGTTTCTTCCACTTTCTGTGCCCCCTGGAAGATGCATTCTTTCCTGAAACTCACTTCTCTGATCTTAAATCCTGAAAAAAATACGCTGGTGCTGGTGCTGTTCACTCCCTTCCATCAACACACACACTCAAATGAAGTGTAAAGAAGTTTGTAAGGTAATTAAAAATCACACTTCAGCTTATGATATCTTTGCCAAAGCAAAATTTTTGTGTGTGAATTTTGTATGACTTTGAAATAATGGAGGAACTAACACTGGCTTTATTTTCTGGATGCTGATTTCTGAATTTTCCAGATAATGTTTGGCGCTGTAAAAGTATTCTTCCTTTAATCATTAAAAAACATATTACAGCAGAGACCATACAAGACCATTTCATTTTTCTCCAAGCTAAAAAGAAAGACTAAATCTCCCAGTCTCCTTGCTTATAGGTGGAGCCATGTGATTAGTTCTGAACAATAGAACACAGGGTTTTGTGCCCTGGCCCCAAGACATCCACACTAAATACTATGCAACTATATTATTAGTAGTCCTCTTCTCATTCTCAAAAAAGTGGGTTTTTTTTTTTTTTTTTTTT